CCGGGAAAAAAATGAGAGCTGAGTTTTTTGTTATTTGTAGCAATATTAAGTTGGCAATGTATCTTATGAGTATGACATAAAAAGCGGATTGTAGGACAAAATTAAAACACCTATTTACAGTCGCCTGAGAACTTGTTTGATCTACAGACCAGAGCGCATTCAGGCCAATATCGACTCTAAGCAATTTACCTACAAGCCGATTTTCGTTAGAGTTGATCTGATACACATCCACTACGAAAAACTAACCCGTTTCGACCATAAGGTCGGACTTTACAACGAACAAAGTTCTTGAACATCTTAACGATTTAATACATAATGTTCCCGAGGGACAAAATTTACATTTCAAACTGTATTATCAAATTGTAAAACGGCCACCAAAATTTGTCACCAAAAATGACGTTTATTGTTTATGAACCCGTGTTAAAAATTTTTATCTTAAACGTCAAGATTTTTGGAAAAAAATCAACAAAACGTTCCAATTTATAGTTATTGGAAGCATGTTAAATCGTTAATCAAAAGTTATCTGTTCGTGCCCCCAGGAATGATTTTTTAGCTTTTCCATTTCTCAATTTTCCAATAGGTATATCAATTTTTCCATTTTTCAAATTTTCGATTTTTCTCGTCTTCAATTTTATGACTTTTAAATATTTTGACTTTTTAATTTTTCAAGTTTTTCGATTTCTGAACTAAGTCTTTTTTTTATTTTCCCATTTCTTGACTTCCGGAACTTTCGATTTTTTCAGTTCTTCAGTTTTTCAGGTTTTTTGATTTTTCAATTTTTGGATATTTCTTTCAGTTTTGGGATTTTTCAATATTTCGATTTTTCGACTTTCCGATTTTTGGACTCCTGGATTTTTTACTTTTTGGATTTTCAATTTTTTGCTAAAATTTAGATTTTTCAATTTTTCGACTGTTTTATACTTCGATTTCTCAATTTTTCAACTTTTCGATGGTTTTCAATTTTTAAAATTCTAGGTTTTTCGATTTCTCGAATTTTCAGTTCTTTATTTCAATTTTCCGACTTTTCATTTTCGGTTTTTCCAATTTATCAATTTTTAATTTCTCAATTTTCTGATTTTTCTTTCAGTTTTGTGATTTTCCAGTATATTTTGATTCTTCGACTTTTCGATTTTTCGACTTCTGAATTTTTCAATTTTTTATTTTTTGTATTTTCAATTTTTTGATCTTTTTTCAACTTTTCGACTGTTTTATATTTCGACTTCCCAATTTTTCAACTTTTCGTTGATTCTATTATTCAATATTTAAAATTCTAGGTTTTCCAGAGTTTTTAGTTGTTCTACATTTCATTTTTTGTTTTATTTTTCCAATTTTTGTTTTTTAAAATTATTCGATTTTTTAATTTTTTGATCTCTCGATTTATCTAATTCACATGTTTCGATGTTTTGATTGTTCAATTTCTCGATTTATGAATTTTTAACTTTTCTTCTCCGTTTTCGACTTCTCCATTTCTCGATCCTCTGATTTTTCCATTTCTCGATGTCGCAGTTTTTGAATTTTTCGATGTTTCGATTTTTTAATTCCTCGGTTTTTCGATCTTTTACTTTGGGGCTTTTCAATTTTTCGATATTTCAATTTTTCAGTTCACAGATTTTTCAGTTTTTCAATTTTTTAAATTCGGGAGTTTCGATATTTCTCGATTTATCGATTTTTAAATTTTAGATTTTCGAATTTTTATTTTTTGATGTTTGGATTTCTCGATTTTTCATTTTTAGGATATTTTAATTGTTCAATGTTTTACATTTTAGATATTTTTCGATTTTTCAAATTTTGACGTTGCTAAATTCTCAGCTTTCTGATTTCTCAGTTAGTCTATTTTTGACTTTCCCATTTCTCGACTTTTCGAAGTTTCGATTTTTCAGTTCTTCGATTTTTCGATTTTTCGACTCTGCTTTTTGGGTTTTCGATTTTTTAATTTCTCAATTTTGGGATATTTCTTTCAGTTTTGTCATTTTCCAGTGTTCTGATTCTTCGACTTTTCGATTTTTCGACTTCTGGATTTTTCGATTTTTTATTTTTTGGATTTTCAGTTTTTCGTTTTTTAAACTTCAGATTTTTCAATTTTTCAACTGTTTTATATTTAGATTTCTCAATTTGTCAACTTTTCGATCTTTTAATTTTTCAATTTGTAAATCTCTAGATTTTTCCATTCTTCGATTTTTTAGTTGTTTTATATTTTAATTGTTCAATTTTCCGAATTTTTAAATTTTCGATTATTCAATTTTTTGAGATCTCGATTTATCAAGACTCAGATGTTTCGATGTTTTGATTGTTCAATTTCTCGATTTATCAATTTTTCAATTTTTCGATTTGTCGAATTTTCGACTCCTCGATTTCTCGATCCTTTGATTTTCCGATTTCTCGATATCTGTTTTTGAAATTTTCGATGTTTGGGTTTTCCGATTTGTCGATTTTTTGAATTTTTGCTTTTCGGCTTTTCGATTTTTCGATGTTTCGGTTTTTGAATGATTTTTAAATTTTCCAATTTTTTAAATTTTCGAGTTTCGATTTTTGGATTTGTTGACTTTTCTGTTCTTCGATTTTTAAATTTAAATTTTTTTTTATTTTATGATGTTTCGATTTCTGCATTTTTCACTTTTGCAATATTTTAATTTTTAAACTTCAGTTTTGGATTTTTGGTTTTTCAATTTTTCGATTTTTGAAATTTTCGATTTTTCGACTTTTAGATTTCTTGATTTTCCCATACCTCAATTTCTCGGCTTTTCCATGTTTCGACTTCCAGTGTTTTTGATTTTTTAGTTTTTCAATTCTTCAATTTTTCGATATTCAGTTATTTGATTTTTGAGTTTTCCGAAGTTTTTAATTTTCGATTTTTCGTTTTCTCTATATTTTTCTATTTCTCAGTTTTTTGATGTTTCAATTTCGAGATTTTTCAATTTTAATTACCAAATTTTACATTTTTCAAGATTTTAGTGTAAGGATTTCAGTTCTCGTTTTGAATTACAGTTTCGATTTTTTGATTTTTTAAATTTTAGATTTTTCGATTTTTTGAGCATTCAATTTTACGATATTTTAATTTTTCGGTTTTTAAGATTTTAGAATTTTCGATTTCTCGAATTTTCCATTTTTCACTTCATCGATTTGTCCATTTTTAAATTTTTGAAAGTTTTAAATTTTAGATTTTAAAAATTTTTGATATTAAGTTTTATATGTCTTTCGATTTTTACTTTTAGGTTTTAGAATTTTCGGTTTTTCGAGTTTTAAATTTCGTGATTTCCTTATTTCTCGATTTCTCACGTTTCGACTGCTCGATTTATTGATTTTTTAGTTTCTCAATTTTTTGCAATTGTTCAATTTTTCTGTCTGATTTTTCAAATGTCCGATTTTTTCATTTTCGATTTTGTGATTTCTCGATTTTTTTCGATTTCTCAGTTTATTGATGCTCCAGTTTCGAGATTTTCCAATTGTTAAATTCCGCAATTGTTCTTTGATTTTTCAAGTTATCGATTTGATAATTTTTCAGTCTTTTACGAGTAGTTCAAGGATTTTTCAGTATTTGGATTGTTCAATTTTTCAATGTTTTAAATTTTTGATTTTTCGATTATTCAATTCTTCGATATTTCTGTTTTAGAATTTTTTAGTATTTCGACTTTTGGATTTTTCGAGTTGTGGATTTTTACTTTTTGGACTTTCAATTTTTCGTTAAACGTTAGATTTTTCAATTTTTCGACTGTTTTAGGCGTCAATGATGTCCCAATTTTTCAACTTTTTGATGTTTTTTCAATTTTCAAAATTCCAGGTTTTTCGATTTCTCGAGTCTTCAGTTCTTCTAGTTTCAGTTTTTAAATTTCCGAATCATTAAATTTTAGATTTTTTCAATTTTTCTTTCTTAAAATTTTTCGATTTTCCAATTTTTTGATTTCTCGATTTATAGAATTCTGTTTTTCGAGTTTTAAATTTTAGATTTTCGAATTTTAATTTTTTGATTTTGCGATATTGTAATTGTTCAATATTTTAAATTTTAGATTTTTCGATTTCTCGATTTTTTGGTTATTGAGTTCTTCAGTATTTCTATTTTTAATTTTTCAAATTTTGACGTTGCTAGATTTTCAGTTTTCCAATTTCTCAATTAATCTATTTTTGATTTTTCCATTTTTCTGGATTTTTCGATTTTTTATTTTTTGGATTTTCAGTATTTCGTTTTTTAAACTTAAAGTTTTTCAATTTCTGGATATTTTAATTTTTCAATTTTTAAATTTATAGATTTTTCAATTTTCCAATTTTTTAAATTTTCCAGTTTCGATTTATCGATTTGTTGATTTCCCAGTTTCTCCATTTTTACATTGTCGTATTTTTTTTTTTATTATTTAATGTTTCGATTTCCCCATTTTTCAATTTTACGATATTTTAATTTTTCAATATTTTTTAATTTTTCAAATTTTCACTTTTCTGAATTTTCAGTTTTCCGATTTTTCAATTAATCCATTCGTTGAAAGGAAACACTTTTCTGCCGAAAATTTAGAAAAATGTCTAATTTGTTAGGCAAATTTTAACGAAGATTAGGATCGCTGATTATGTAAAATAACCAATCGTTGCGCCTACTTTAGGTCTTATTTTGGCGTTTTTTACCCTAAAATCGGGTCGCAAGAATTTTTTTTCTGTTTTAGTCAAGTTAGGGGTTAATCATTATTTGTACTAACCAAATTCTCTGTAACTCCACCTTACCTTTCCCTTAATTAATACACGAATGCTTGATGTGGTTTCATTAGCTATACATCCACCCAAGGTACGTGTATTAATTAAATCCAATATTCATCCTTCTGTTATTAATTGACCACTCACTATCATCGAATTACGTTTTTTAAACCGTCACATTCCGACCCCGCTCAACTTAAAACCCCCAAATTGAAATTTCCACCAATTACCGTTCGCGCAATTAATATTTGAATTATTAACAAAACCCGCGCGCATTCCAGTAAAATACGATTATCATCTAGTTAATTCTTCATGAAAATACTCACCTGTGAATTCCAACCCTGCCAACTTCCACGTGCCTTTCTTTGTGACTAGAATGCTCGCCGGACAGACGTTACGGTGCAACACGTGTCCGGAGTAATGTAGGAATGATAAAGCTTCTGTTATCTGAAATGAACAGTTAATTATTGTCTGCATCTAGAGCGCTCTGAGCCGTTAATCAGATCAAGTCGATCATGTGGACAATGGTTTATTGACAGCAATACGGTTTCTGTAATCTTATTATGGGAAATGATTTTGCAAAATCCGCCATTTGGGGCTAAATACGGGCGTGAGGCATGGGAAAACGTGCGATTGTGGTCTTAAAGTAATTAAAATTTGCAGCGGAAATGTGAAATCTGGTCGCTTTTGTCTCGGTAGTAGCGAGGAGAAGGATTCTCAACATAGGTGTATTTCTGCAAGATGACGTTAACCCAAAATGGTTTTAGAATCGGTTTTCATCAGCCGATTTCTTGAAAGTTTTTAGTCCTACGACTTCAAATCAAGGACGAATTCTTGTTATGGAGGGTCAAATTAATGGAAATCATTCGATTTCTTGAAACTTTTTAGTGCTAGGAGTTAACTTTCAGATCAAGTAGTCGACCCGTTTAGTAGAGAGAGACGGATATATCGAATGGTGTTATTTTTCTTGAGAGTTGACTACTCTAAATTAAAAAAAAAATGAGGTGATTACGGAGGCATTTTCTGAGGACGAATTCTTGTTTTAAAGGATGAAATTAGTATACAGAAATTTTATTAGAAAGATAATAGAGATTTCACTAACGTGACAAGATTTCATATTATCGAAATTGTGAAAATTTCCATCTCCATTGTCTAACAGGATATAATTCTAAAATGGTTTAAAAATCCTCCTTGAAGTTTTCATTATCCTTTTCTCCGATTCTTCCTCGTTCTGCTTACTAATCTTCAGGCCTGTTGCTCGATCCGTTTAGAATTAAGAGAAGGAAATATCCAGTGGTGTCATTTTCCTTATGAGTTGACTAATCAAAAATTAAAATACAACTCAGGTGACTGCGGAGGGATTTTCTGAGTGCGACTTATTGTTCCGAAGGTTGAAATTAGTAAAGAGACCAATTTTTAGGAAAAAACTAGAACCATTAAAATGAAGTTATTTGACATTATCGAAATTCTGAAATTTTTCATTTCCATTTGATAAACGGGAGATAACTTCAAAACAGTTCAAGAATCTACCTTTCGGTTTTCACCATATGTTTCCTTGTAACTTTCTAGTCCCACGAGATAATTTTCAGATCGAATGCACGATCCGTTTAGTGCAGAGAAACGGATTTGTTCGAGGAGTCATTTTCCTTGTGAGTTGACTACTCTAAAATTTAGAAAAAATTCAGGTGGTTACGATGGCATTTTCTGAGGGCGAAGTCTTGTTTTAAAGGTTGAAATTAGTATAGAGAAAAATTTTTAGAAAGATTATAGAGATTTCCCTAAACTGAGAAAATTTCATATTATCCAAATTCTGAAATTTTCCATTTCCATTGATTTAACAGGATATAACTTTAAAATTATTTTAAAATCCTCTTTGTAGTTTTCATCATCTTTTTCTTAGATTCTTTCTAACTCTGTTCATTAATCTTCAGGCTTGTTGCTTGATCCGTTTAGAATCAGGAGAAGGAAATATCCAATGGTGTCATTTTCCTTATGAGTTGACTAATCAAAAATTAAAATACAACTCAGGTGACTGCGGAGGGATTTTCTGAGTGCGACTTATTGTTCCGAAGGTTGAAATTAGTAAAGAGACCAATTTTTAGGAAAAAACTAGAACCATTAAAATGAAGTTATTTGACATTATCGAAATTCTGAAATTTTTCATTTCCATTTGATAAACGGGAGATAACTTCAAAACAGTTCAAGAATCTACCTTTCGGTTTTCACCATATGTTTCCTTGTAACTTTCTAGTCCCACGAGATAATTTTCAGATCGAATGCACGATCCGTTTAGTGCAGAGAAACGGATTTGTTCGAGGAGTCATTTTCCTTGTGAGTTGACTACTCTAAAATTTAGAAAAAATTCAGGTGGTTACGATGGCATTTTCTGAGGGCGAAGTCTTGTTTTAAAGGTTGAAATTAGTATAGAGAAAAATTTTTAGAAAGATTATAGAGATTTCCCTAAACTGAGAAAATTTCATATTATCCAAATTCTGAAATTTTCCATTTCCATTGATTTAACAGGATATAACTTTAAAATTATTTTAAAATCCTCTTTGTAGTTTTCATCATCTTTTTCTTAGATTCTTTCTAACTCTGTTCATTAATCTTCAGGCTTGTTGCTTGATCCGTTTAGAATCAGGAGAAGGAAATATCCAATGGTGTCATTTTCCTTATGAGTTGACTAATCAAAAATTAAAATACAACTCAGGTGATTGCGGAGGGATTTTCTGAGTGCGACTTATTGTTCCGAAGGTTGAAATTAGTAAAGAGACCAATTTTTAGGAAAAAACTAGACCCATTAAAATGAAGTTATTTAACATTATCGAAATTCTGAAATTTTTCATTTCCATTTGATAAACGGGAGATAACTTCAAAACAGTTCAAGAATCTACCTTTCCGTTTTCACCATATGTTTCCTTGTAACTTTCTAGTCCCACGAGATAATTTTCAGATCGAATGCGCGATCCGTTTAGTGCAGAGAAACGGATTTGTTCGAGGAGTCATTTTCCTTGTGAGTTGACTACTCTAAAATTTAGAAAAAATTCAGGTGGTTACGATGGCATTTTCTGAGGGCGAATTCTTGTTTTGAAGGTTGAAATTAGTATAGAGAAAAATTTTTAGAAAGATTATAGAGATTTCCCTAAACTGAGAAAATTTCATATTATCCAAATTCTGAAATTTTCCATTTCCATTGATTTAACAGGATATAACTTTAAAATTATTTTAAAATCCTCTTTGTAGTTTTCATCATCTTTTTCTTAGATTCTTTCTAACTCTGTTCATTAATCTTCAGGCTTGTTGCTTGATCCGTTTAGAATCAGGAGAAGGAAATATCCAATGGTGTCATTTTCCTTATGAGTTGACTAATCAAAAATTAAAATAAAACTCAGGTGATTGCGGAGGGATTTTCTGAGTGGGATTTATTGTTCCGAAGGTTGAAATTAGTAAAGAGACCAATTTTTAGGAAAAAACTAGGCCCATTAATATGAAGTTATTTGACATTATCGAAATTCTGAAATTTTTCATTTCCATTTGATAAACGGGAGATAACTTCAAAACAGTTCAAGAATCTACCTTTCCGTTTTCACCATATGTTTCCTTGTAACTTTCTAGTCCCACGAGATAATTTTCAGATCGAATGCGCGATCCGTTTAGTGCAGAGAAACGGATTTGTTCGAGGAGTCATTTTCCTTGTGAGTTGACTACTCTAAAATTTAGAAAAAATTCAGGTGGTTACGATGGCATTTTCTGAGGGCGAATTCTTGTTTTGAAGGTTGAAATTAGTATAGAGAAAAATTTTTAGAAAGATTATAGAGATTTCCCTAAACTGAGAAAATTTCATATTATCCAAATTCTGAAATTTTCCATTTCCATTGATTTAACAGGATATAACTTTAAAATTATTTTAAAATCCTCTTTGTAGTTTTCATCATCTTTTTCTTAGATTCTTTCTAACTCTGTTCATTAATCTTCAGGCTTGTTGCTTGATCCGTTTAGAATCAGGAGAAGGAAATATCCAATGGTGTCATTTTCCTTATGAGTTGACTAATCAAAAATTAAAATACAACTCAGGTGCTTGCGGAGGGATTTTCTGAGTGCGACTTATTGTTCCGAAGGTTGGAATTAGTAAAGAGACCAATTTTTAGGAAAAAACTAGACCCATTAAAATGAAGTTATTTGGCACTATCGAAATTCTGAAATTTTTCATTTCCATTTGATAAACGGGAGATAACTCCAAAACAGTTCAAGAATCTACCTTTCCGTTTTCACCATACGTTTCCTTGTAACTTTCTAGTCCCACGAGATAATTTTCAGATCGAATGCAAGATCCGTTTAGTCCAGAGAAACGGATTTGTTCGAGGAGTCATTTTCCTTGTGAGTTGACTACTCTAAAATTTAGAAAAAATTCAGGTGGTTACGATGGCATTTTCTGAGGGCGAATTCTTGTTTTAAAGGTTGAAATAAGTATAGAGAAAAATTTTTAGAAAAATTATAGAGATTTCCCTAAACTGAGAAAATTTCATATTATCCAAATTCTGAAATTTTCCATTTCCATTGATTTAACAGGGTATAACTTTAAAATGGTTTTAAAATCCTCTTTGTAGTTTTCATTATTCTTTTCCTCGATTATTTCTAGTTCTTTTCAGGCCTCTTGCTTGATCTGTTTAGAATCAAGAGAAGGAAATATCCAATGGTGTCATTTTCCTTATGAGTTGACTACTCTCAAAATTTAAGAAAAAAATCAGGTGATTGCGGAGGCATTTTCCGAGGACGAGTTCTTGTTTTAAAGGTTGAAATTAGTATAGAGAAAATTTTTTAGGAAGATAATAGTGCTTTCACTAAAGTGAGAAGATTTCTTATTATCCAAATTATGAAATTTTCCATCTCCATTGATTTAACGGGATATATCTCTAAAATGGTTCTAAAATCCGCCTTGTGGTTTTCATCATCCTTTTCCTCGGTTCTTTGTAATTCTGCTTATTAATCTTCAGGCCTGTTTCTTGATCCGTTTAGAAGCAAGAGAAGGAAATATTCACTGGTGTCATTTTCCTTATGAGTTGACTACTCAAAAATTAATAAAAATTTAAGGGATTTCGGAGGCATTTTCTGAGTGTGAATTCTTGTTTTGAAGGTTGAAAGTAGTATACAGACAAATTTGTAGAAATATAATTAAGATTTGACTAAAGTGAGAAGATTTGACATTATCCAAATTTTGAAATATTCCATCTCCGTTCGATTAACAGGACATAACTTCAAAATGGTTATAAAATTTGTTTTGTAGTTTTTATCATATTTTTTCTTGGTTCTCTTTAGTACTGCTTGTTAATCTTCAGGTCGGTTGGTTGATCGGTTTAGAATCAGGAGAAGGAAATATATTATGGTGTCATTTTCCTTATGAGTTGACTACTCAAAAATTAAGAAAAAATTCAAGGAATTTCGGAGGC